AACCCGACGTATACACGAAGCGGCACCCATATTGAGTACTCCGTAATAAATTTGATTTTTAAGTAATGAATTTGTGGTTTATATTATTTATCCTAATTTTTATTACGCATTTTTTACGTTATTATTTTTCGTGTCGATCAAATTTGGGAAATCTTTTAGGGGCAGGGGGAGTAATATATAGGTGAGTTAATTAGGATTTAAAATTAACTATATAAAAATATATTTCCTCCGTTCCACTATAATTGTCTCATTTTTCTTTTTATGTCTGTCTCACTAAATTTGTCGCATACCATATATATTTGGTAATATATGTGTGGTTCTAATTGATTCTTGTTTTGTTATCACTTTTATGATCGTATTATCAACCACTTAATTATATTTTTCTTAAAAACCACATTACTCCCTTCCCTATCAATAATAGGCGAACAGAGGTAGTAATAATTAAAACTAATACTAATAATAAAAGTTTATAATAGTTTAAGAACAAAATTTCTATGCCATCAGACTTGAAACAATATTATCATGAGCAATCGTAATCTCATGATTTCTCATTCCACTGTCAAATTGCATAGGATGAGCTTGAATAAAATCAAGGGGTATGAATTCAGAAACGTCATCAATGAAATCCAAAGTTGATCCATGTAATCCAAAACATGAGCATGTAATCCTATATTGATCGATCAATGAATACTTTGGCATTATTCGTAATATCTTCCATCAAACATTAAGAACACCAAAAGCTCTCTCAATACAACTTCTTAACGATGAATGCACAAGATTAAACACTTCTTATGATCGTGTCTCAGGGTACGACGTCAAGTACTCATATCTTTCTGGATAGTTTTATCAATTAAGTAATACTCTCCTAAGAGAATAAATGCAACAAGTAAAATTGGGATTTAATTTGTAAATCATATACTACCTCCGTCCCTTTTTTATTTAGCCATTTTTATCTTTTCTAGTCAAAGTTGGTAAACTTCGATCTTTTTTTTAAAGAAACAATAATGATTTCCCCTCCCAAATGGGTAAGAAAATCACAAACTTATAGAACTTATCTCACCTAAATAGACTAATTACAACAACTATACTCATTCTACCCGATGATTCCAATGAAACAAAACATACTTGCACTAACAAAAAATTCTACAATTTTGAAATACAACACTTTGACTTTTACACTATTCATATGTTCAACTTTGACTACATTTTATTTATTAATGTAATAATATTATTTTATGAAAAAATATTGTTAAACTTGTCTAGTAAATTTTCATAATCTATTTTTTTTTAATTTTTTTACTAATACAAAATCATTTATATTAATGGTCAAAGTTGTGTCTCGGCAAGTGTGAAATGTTGACCGTTGCATATATTTAAGAACGAGTAAAGGGTCAGTTTAGTCCTCGAAGTTGCAAAAAAGGCGTCAAATAAGTCCTTATATAGAAGATTCTGTCCGGACGTGTCATTTGAGGTGGCTCCCGGTGGAATTTTGTGATAAATTTTTTTGAGCATCTTATTCATTACGTCTAGTTTACTCATACCAAATTTCAGCTAAAAATTCAATCGGGAAGACATTCAAATGAATTCCTGAAGATAACAGCGCTTTTAACGGCACAGTTATCTTAAAGAATTCATTTGAATGTCTTCCCGATTGAATTTTTATCTGAAATTTGGTATGAGTAAACTAGACTTAATGAATAAGATGCTCAAAAAATTTCATCAAAAAATTCCACCGGGAGCCACCTCAAATGGCAGGTCCGGACAGAATTTTCTATATAAGGACTTATTTGACACCTTTTTTGCAACTTCGAGGACCAAACTGACCCTTATCCCATTTAAGAACGGATGAAGTATAAGCTTAGTATAAATGTATAATAGAAAAGGAATTGTCAAGTGGATAAAACCTTCACATGGACAAAGGTAAAAGCCTTACTCTCTTCCTTTCATTCCTTTAAATCCAGTAATGCCATGATCGAAGGGCAAAGTATAATAATGATACTACAAACACGTACAATAAACAAAAGGGCCCATGCAACGGCCACCGCAACATCGGCTCAGGGCTCTTGTGCTGTGACCTGATCTGGTAATCTCTGAGTTGCTCGACGAGTTCAGCCTATCATATCCATTATATTTCGCCGGAGATTTATTTCAGTTATTTCTGACCTAACCAGGAATGATGAGATTGATCACAAAATCACAAAATTCTGCTCATCCACTTTGATCCATTATTTTAACTAATATATTTATGTGAAACTTAATAAATTTATATTTTTGTGATTGTAGTACTTTTAAGAACATTTTCATATCATTTTCGTTTTATCAATATTACCGTGTATAAGTATGTAATCCATCAAAGTTTAACTTCTTTGACTTGAAAATTCAAGTTTGGTTAAAAAAAGGGACGGAGAGAGTATGAAATATAGACAAAGCGCCACAATTGAATGCATCGGCAGGCTAGCAGAACTGTTGGCATTGCATCCCAACAGCCCATCGGTACCCCCAACACATGTTGTGTCTCAATTGAGCAGCATGCTCTTGTCGGGGGTCGAACCCGTGACCTTGGTTCAGATACCACTTGTGGATCGTTGTATTTACCGCTACACTGATAGTATAGCACACAATTCCTCCCTTAATGCACATGCTAAGTGCAACGGTCGATTGCACCAACATAGGTTGCACCTCGACTTCACACATTGCTTATTCCTCAACCTGAAGTTCTCCCAGATTGATGGGGTGGAGCACTGTGGGACTTCGCCTCATCCAGAAACAAAAGATTCAAAAATAGATCCACCACAAAGGCAAAGACACCTCGCCGTAAAAAAAAAATCAAACATTAAGTAAAAAAGTATTAAAAAGAGTCAAACATCAAGGAATAAAGAATGCGTCGGATAGTAAACTCAACGCCTCCTCGACCAAACACCAAAAACACAACACATATATGGTGTCTCACTCTCATCTTGACACCTCTCGGCTTAGAGAGCGGGGGGGACTCCTGATATAGTTATTGGCTTGGACCCACGACCCACATACTCAAGGATACACAAACAAGGTTACAAGCTACTAAAGTACCCCTCGGCCTGACCCCCTTGGCCAGACGAGGATCAACCACAGAAAGATGCTCAGAAGTGGAGAACTCCAGACATGGATCAGAATCAATCCAAGAATGGTCACCTCACTCTGGCCACCTTGGCCTGAGCCTCTAGTAGATAGCTACACATTGTACTTAGCAGAATAAACTTCGTGTAAACAGCCTATAAACGGCCCATCATTGTAATCGGACCTCCCAGACCCAAAGTATGGGAGCCCAACTCATATTTCCTCTATAAATACCCCTCTTGGGGGTAGTTGTAGGAGTTGAAAAACATTGAATTCAAAAAACTCTTTCTAGCTCTCACTTCTCTTTTGAATTATACTCTTTCAATATTATTTCTTACTGAAAGTTATTGCATCATACCACTAAACATTTCATGAAAAGTAGAGGGAAAAGTGTCAAATAAGTCCCTGTACTATACAGAAAATGTCAATTAGACCCCCGAACTCAAAAAACGCTCAATTAAACACCTGAACTATGAAAAAACGTTCAAATCAGCTCTTTAATAGGTTACCAACCGGTTACAAGTTACATTTGCACACGTGGCGACACATGTGTAATTTTTTTTCTTTTTCTTTTATTTGTCTTTTTCTTTCTTTCCTTTGTTTTTTCCTTTTCCTCTCCTGGTTCGTTACTTCTCTGTTCTTCCTCCTCCCTTGCGCCATTAACTTCAATCACAATTCACAGAAGTGCAGATCCAGATCCCACCATGTCGACAAGACAACACTACCTGATTTCGCCACCAAACGCCGCTCAATTTCGCCGCTCCAACGCCGTCATAAGGGAAGAGGCCGGACTTGAGCTTCATCCCAATTTGATCCCATCGATCTCTAGCTTCTACGAGAGTAAAAGCTCAATTCGAATTAGAAGAACTTGAAGATAATATGGAGTATAGTTCTGATTCAGGGGCAAAGAACCAGCGGCGGCGGCGGCCATAGGCGTCGTCGTCGTCCTGTCTTCGGCGTCCACTCACGTAAGCGAAGAAGACGGGTGAGGGCGACGAACCAGGTGACCGGAAGAGGACTTCTCGATAGCAGAGAACCTTGGAGATGAGAAAAGGAAGAAGGATAAAGAAAAAGAAGGAAAAGAGAGAAGGGAGGAAGAAGCTCACGCGCAGGGAGCCGAGGAAGAAGAAATGAAAAGAAAGAAGGAATAAGAAAATGGATTAGAAAAAGAAAAATATGCCAGATAAGTAATTTGACCGGCAACCGGAAGACCACAGGCTAAAGAGACAATTTGACTCATTTTTTATGGTTTGTGGGTTTAATTGGATGATATTTGAGTTGATGGACTTAATTGACATTTTCGTTATAGTAGGGGCCTATTTAACCCTTTTCCCAAAAGTAGAAGCCCCACATTTTTTGATTTGGCACCCTCGGTGTTTTGAGACAAGTCTCTCTCTAAAGCTCTTTTACCCTTTTTTATGATATCCCTTTCCACATTATTATCTTCCCGGGATGTATATGAGCTGAGGTAGGGCTAGCTCGGCAAGGGCTATATGATGATCATCCCAAGCAATGTCATTAATGGTGGTTCTTTAATTTGAGTGGCCATGGATGGTGATGATTGAGGTCACAAAAGTGGGTTGCTCGTTGAAATGAGGTTGAAAATTCAGAATTTAATTCTTCATCTCTCAGTGAACCAAAGAAACAAACCGCATTGATAGAACAAATGCGTAATTTTTAAATTAAAATAATCCAAATTTTTGATTTTTTACTAAAGTCAGTCTTGCAACATGAATTAAGGATCCGTTTACCGTTCAGAGAATACATAGCAGAATTCTCATATGACATTAGGGTTCGGTGTGTTGATGACTAAATTCTCATAATACATAGCAGAATTAAGAGCATAACAGAGTTAATGACTATGAATGCATCAAACAAAATTATTAAGCTGTGAGCAAATGTGCATGGTAGTCAAAACATAGTTGTGTTTTATTCAATCTTTAAAACACAAAGAGGTAATGCCCAAAATTTATGTACATACAAGGGGGAGGTTTGATATGTTTCACCCTAAACAAGCCTCAAAAAGGAACACTAAATTTTAGAGCATGGGAAAGATGTCATCAAAGGATGATTTAAAGAAATAACCCGCCTGGGCTGGAAATTTAGGATGATTTAAATGAAGGCTTGAATGCTTAATTGATCTTCAACTGTAACATCCAAAGGATTGGTCATAGTTTTTAGTTGACAAGCTCGCCATCCCCAGTTCTCTCATTCTGTTCAGTTCTGGTAATATTGATGTACCAAGATCCGGTCTGTCTTTCTTCCTGAGCTCAGCACACTTCAGAGATAATTTCGCGAATTGAAAAGCCTCTTCTACTGGCCAATCCGGAACGGTTGGATCTAACAAATCCGCAAATGTGCCTTTCTCGATCGCCCTCTCCACGTGGTGGGTCAATCCCATAGGCGGCCTTGCTGTAATGATCTGGAGCAACATCACTCCCAGAGAATATATATCCGATTTAGTCCCCAACTTTCCGGTCTGTTGATACTCAGGATCTATATAACAAAACGTGCCGGCAGCTGACGTCATGTGATACTGAGTGACATCATCAGCCACGGAAGGTGGGACCAGCCTTGCCAAACCAACATCACTGATCTTGCTGACAAAGTTGCGGTCCAAGAGGATGTTGGCTGGCTTAAGGTCTCGGTGGACAAGCGGCTCGGGCTTTGATTGGTGGAGAAATAGTAACGCAGTCGCGATCTCCGCTGCAATTTTGAACCGGATTTCCCAAGGGATGGGAGGAGTGTTGCCCTTCCTAAACAGACGGTCTTCCAAGCTTCCATTGCTCATGTATTCATATACTAAGCATCCATACTCAGGACACGCACCTAAAAGAAGAACCATGTTTGGATGTCTGATGAGACTGAGTACCTCAACCTGGAGATTAATAAAATGATAAAGATGAGTTAATAATATTTTGTTGACTTTGAACTAACTAATAGGTTGAATTCAGTAGTTTAGTGGAATTTAGTTTAAGTGACTTATAGCAGAGTTGAGCTATCTGACCAGAATTCTAAATGCTATACTCTACCAACTTATAAATGGTTACTAAATACTCCGTAAGCTACTTCTGTGCAGACAATCACAAACAAGTTGATGTGTCACGTTGAACTAATTAAAGCATGTCATGTGGCATCAAAGTCATCATCCAATCACTGTTTAGATATATTTTTGCTTACATAATGCTTACTAAAGTCCTTGCATTCTCAAAATTTATCATTCAGGAATGAAAAAAAATTAGTTTGATTACCCATTGAAGAAAATAGTTAAGTGGGCATTATATAAGAGAAGGTAGTTTTTTTAAGAGTGACTAAATGAGATGAATGCTATGATACCCATGTCTTCTTTAAATTGGTTGTATATAACACATCAATCTTTTGGTGACTAAGTGACCTGCTATATGCAAAGAAGTAGCTCATGGTGACCAATTTGAAGAAAAAAACACAGTTCAGTAACCCTCTATGTAAGTAAGGTTATGGTTTAGTAATTAACCATAAATGTTATTGCCAAGCTTTCTGCCTATAAGTTTTTTTTGGAATAAAACTAAGTCAAAAACCAAGTGCATATATATACGTGAAGTGTGCACCTCTTGTTGGAATTGCTTCCTTCCTTGGGCAGCATCAGGCCTTAAGACTTTGATGGCAACAGGTGTGTGATCAAGTTTGCCTTTATACACCGGCCCATATCCTCCTTCACCAATCTTCATTGATTTTGAGAATTTATCAGTGGCCTTCTCAATCTCTTCTATGGTATACTTTCTGTAGCGACAATCATTTTGAGATAAGACATTTAGTGCTCGGTTCTTTTCTGCCCTCTCTTTCTTCATCTTCAACTCTGCATACTTTGTTCTTTGGGCTTCCATTTCAGCAATCTTTTGCGCTTTCTCAGCTGCTTCAAGGGCTGCTTTGCATTTAGCCTTCTCCATCTCAACCATTCTAAGAGCAGCTTCTTCATCACTTCGAGCTTTCTCAAACCTTTGGGATTCTTCTATCTTCAGCTGCTGAAGCTCCTTTGCCTGAACAAGAGGAAATATATGGCAATGCATTATATATGACTAGTCCTAAAGAAGAAGAAATAACACTTGGGCTATGTTTGGAACTCGGAATTTCCATCATTTCCAATGGAGCCAAAGACTCACTACTTTTTGGTTTGGGAATGGAATAAAGCAAATGTCTCACTAAACTGTCTGCGCTTCTATGTTATGAAGCAAAGTCAGCCCATGCAATTTTTGATGTGATTTTCATTATGGGTCATTGGGAAACAGTCTCTCTGTGCTTTAGTACAAAGGTAAGATTGTGCACATACGCCCCCCAGCTTACCTCACCGTAGGTGGGAGCCTATGCAGCACTGGGGTAATGTTGTAGTTGTTTTTGTTATTGCTATGTTTGGAACTCGGAAAATGGCAGTAAATGGAAATGGTAATTTGCGTGTGGTTTTTACCTTGTACAATCAAATCTTAAGTTAGAGAGAGAGGAACTGAAAGTTTATCATGTGTTTATTGATATGAATAGGCACACACACAGAAATAGTTACGATGATAATGGTAATCATGTAGGCTACCTAGTTACGAATAACCGTAAAATTAAAATGGTTGACTATATCTATAAACATGTTGGATAAATAATACCAAATGAACTAATATCCTAAAGTTAAATGTGTACACATATTTTGATGTTTTTTCCTTGACTAATACGGAGTAGAAATTTATAAATAATACTACCTCCATCCCTTATAACTTGGCCAAATTTCTTTTTTTTAGCCGTCCCAAAAAATTTTGCCATTTCTATTTAGAGTACTGAATGCGTGTTTAAAGTATTTCCTCTCTCTTATGCACAAATTTCAACCACATAGTTTTTACCTTATTATTCAACGTGTAACTCAAACTTGATCACGTTTTGTGGGACGGAGGGAGTATGAGTTTGAAAATATATCTAAGTTTCCTCACAATTTTTTGTTTGGTTAGTTTGAACCATTTTCAAAAGAAAATTTCTTTCTTTCCAAAATTTCCTTCAACTTTCATCCCTATTTTCTTTCCCTAGCATTTTTTGAGATCCAAGTGGACCATTCAAACTGAAGAGATTGTGACAAAGAGCAGCACTCTAAAGGAACAGTAATTTGTGCCTATCCCCGATTAAGGATTTTAAGAATTCTGATTTCAAGTATATTATATTTCTCCTCCAAAGACATTCATATGCATATACACATAATTCATGTGGAGCAAGAATTTTATCATGATTACCTTTTGCTTGGCTGAGATAGCTTCTTTGCAAGCATTGTTATACATGTCCATGGTTTGCTTAAGCTCTAACTTTAGTCTTTTCATCTCCCTTTCCAAACTATTCTGCATCCCATTACAAAAGCTTAATTGAGTGGATGTACTTCATGTCCGTTAAAATTAGCGCCAAGATATCCTACCATCTCTTATAATGTATATTGAACTTACAGCGGCTAAGGAGCCCTCATCACTTCTAGCTTCAGGTACTCTTGTGAAGTCTAAATTTTGGCCTGCAGAATAAGAGGACCCATCGCTGATCTTCTCAAAGACATCATAATCATCAAGAATGGAACTTTGGCTGGATGAATTCCTTGGCCTTCTATTGGAAGCATCAAAAATATTTTCTTTATCCATGCTTTGCCTAGATCTTATGTTTTGCTCTCCCCTCAAAAAGGATGACGACCTTTTTAACAAAAATATCAACCACATGAATTATTAAACTTAATAGTTAATACTATCATAAACATTAGAATGCAACATATTATGTATGGCTAAGTCATCTCACATAAAACAATTATAAGGTATAAGTCAACATAAACATATAAGGTTGTGAACTCAAATTTGAGATTTGAGGATGTAGTCTTGGAGCCCAACTCTCGGCATGAACTCAAATCTAAATATGGTATAGAAATTATTAAGCTCAAACAAGCAAATTGTACAGCTTATCCTTACAATTCCTATATAAGGTTAACTTGATGAAACCACAACTCATGATAATACTAAGCAGAAAAAGCTCTATATGCTTTGGGAAAATTACTATTCACCCCATGAGGTTATGTCATAATTATTAATGCAACCTTGCATTTTCAAAAACATATTAGTTACCCCCTGAATTTAAATCATTCTCATTCTTTTCCCCTGAAGTTAATATTTGTTAAATCAAATTTAATTTAACTCTTAAATTTAATGAAAATTGTCTATAAAATTAATTTTTAAAGTAAAACACAAATTATTATTATTACTATTATCATAATTATAAGTCATTGCTGTTAATCGTTATTTTTCTACTTAGCTACTCCATCGTGGAATAAATATTATTGAAAGTAGTTAAGAGAAAATATTCATGAGTAAGATAAATTACTAATAGCCCCCTCAGGTTATGTCATAATTATTAAATTACGTATTGTTGATCCTAGAACCATGACATAACCTCAGGGGGGCTAATGTAATTTACTATTAGAGTAAATTACATATTATTGTTTTGACCTGCTATCGTCTGAATCAGTGCTGCTGATCCTAGAACCATGCGAGGAAGAGACTTGGGACCATGTTGGAGTTGAAAAGTTAGCAAGAACTCTCGATGCTGGGCGAACAGATTGTTGCTTTCCTTTTGAGATTACATAGACGGAGCAAAAGTCTGGTGCGATCTTGTTCACAATAGTTGACACATCATGAGTCCAAAATTTCCTGCACAAATTCTGTTCAGACCAACCTCTAATGCAGAACCCTCCATTTCTTGGAGCTGGATCTGCTGTATGCCTTACTCAGAACCATCTAATCTCGACCAAAGGGCTATGAGTAAGACAAGATGTCCTTTTCTTTCTCAAGACAAGTCATGGAACCGATATTTGTTTTACTTGTCACCATCTGATCTTACTAAATGGGTTCCAGTAAGACAAATAGCAGAACCGAATTTGGTCTTAAGACTAGCAGCGGATCCAAATCCCATTTCTTTTGCACAAGTGTGGTGGATGAGATGACAAAACTAACCTGGCTATAGAGCTTCGAGTTGATGCACCAAGAACAATGTTGGAAATGCGGTTAGTGTTAATGTAGTCTCCAATCGCCTTCGGCACTTCATTATCTTCAACAACAACCTCCTTCACGATGATCTGAAAACAATCCATATACACTTCGGTGAGGCATGCTATTTAATGTTCCATGACTAGTTATATCATTATTGTGAGAAGTTCCCTCCTAGTCCTCATCAAACCATCGTATCCTTCCTAGTTCGTAATTAATCCTTATTAGGAGTTAGGACTGGTATACAATCTAGTGGGCGGCTATTCCTAGTTTAGCTTTCAATGCAAAAGATATGCATTGCCCATTGAACTAAGCTAGTAAAGTCTAATGTACAATCCAATGTGCGTCGTGATAAAACATTAAAAAAAAACTTATGATGTCAAAAGCTTACTAAACAACACCTTATCCTCATACGTAGTATAATGCAAAATTGACTTGATGTTCCTGTTTTACTCAGACAAAGTTATCTATTCTCGAATTCTTAATCTCAGTCGGTGTTTGGATCTAATTTCAGTAGTTGATTCTACACCTAAAAGCACTTAAAATCATAATCACTTTTATCACCGTGATTATGATAATATCACATTTTTATTTACACCAGCCTAATAACAAAACCATACTCGATTTAAACAAATGTGTTCGAATATGAGAAGAGAATTAATATTGTGTTGTCTGATGACACCTGAGTGGCAACAAAATTGGGTAAATGTCAAGATCCAGTTAGATTCCTCACTAGCCCATCCTAATTAAATGAAATATTTAAAAAGGTCCAGAGTAGCTGGCGTACCCCTCTGCGTGCAGAGTAGGCACGAAATGGAATGAAGACACTATATGCATCAGGATCATTGTGTATTCCACCATTTGCATCTGGAGAACCATTCTCTGGGAAAAAACAGATGATAAATTAATTCAGAAGAAAATACATTAAAATGTAAACGCACAATTACGAAAAAATTAAAGCAACTGTGAAGAAACTTTGAGAGTTTCTAACAATTGGAACAACAACAATAGCAAAAAACTAAGACCTAGGGCACCTACGATTCGGTAATGATTTGGTCCGCACGTGGAGAAGGATAAGAAAGGGATTGCTAAGGAGGAGATGATCGACCGCCCATTTCACGGCGGAGCCGCTGTTCTTATCTTTATCGACAGCCACGACAGTGAGGGGGCCTGCGGAACCGTCGTCGGGAATGATGGAATCCATTTCAATTTGGATTATATGTTACAGCAATAAAACTATGGATTAGCTCCACCACGACAGAACGGCCGCCGCGGCTTGCCTCCGCCGCCGGAAGCTTTTCGGGAATGTGGGAGAAAAGAACAGAAAGACAAGCGACAGAAGAGAAGGGATCCTCTCTGGGTCTGCACATATTGCCAATGTGGAAAGACGAAATCTTCTCAACTGAAATAACGAACTTATTCAATTTGTCGTTTTTATTTTGGTCTGATTATTTCTGACAATGCAAATTTTATGGTATATGCGTTCACGCTTCGACTTAGGAACCAAGAACCGGAGAACCGAACAGGACCGAACCGTTATGACCCGGTTCGGTTCCGACATTTATTAGTTATTTGTTAATGGTTCGGTTCCTAATTTTTATTAACGGTTCGGTTCTCGGTTCCTGAAAAAAATATGTACCAGGAACCGTTAAGGAACTTTTTCCCGGAATAATGCTAATTAAATAAATAATTCCCAAAATACTGCCGGGTTAATAATAATTCCCAAAATACTGCTGGGGTTAACCACGGTTAAGGAAAGCCGCCATTTCAAGTGGCGGCTCTTGTGAAGCTTTACAAAAGCCGCCATTTGGAGTGGCGGCTCTTGTACCGCTGTATAAAAGCCGCCACTTGGAGTGGCGGCTCATTAATTCAGAAGATAAGTCCCTGGTTCTCGACGAACGATTACAGAGCAACTCCCAGCCTAGCTTCTCGACGACGGACCTGCGAAGACGAAGGGGGTGCGCGAATCGAAGGGAATTGGTCCAAAGACTGCTCGAATCGAAGGGAATAGAGGCGTGGTGTACCGGGATCGTTTTTTGCTCCCTTCAACCGTCAATAACCGTTTGAATTGAGGTATTTCATCTTCTTTGCTAAACCTAGGTTTTTTCTTAATTTTTTCTTGAAATTGCTCGAAATTCCTGTTGTTTACCTGAAATTGCGGTTGTTTCTCGGAATTATAGTGATTGACAAATGAAGTTCTTGTGCATATTAAGTTGGATGTATTTTCTTTGCCAAGTTCGCATGGATTTGGGGTCTCAATTAACGCTTGTTTGATTTTTTTAGGAAAAAACGCCGCTTGGCGAGTTAACTACTCCACATATTAGCAACTTTGAGTAATAATGATACTAAGAATAAAATGATTATGCGTGAATAAGCCCTACTTTAAGAAGAAAAAAATGATTATAATATCTAATAAATGTTTACTTTGTTTATGTTTTAGTTCTATATAAGAAATTTTTCTTTATATGATAAATGTTTACTTTGTTTTTGTTAATGATTATATTAAATATATGTTTACTTTGTTTATGTTTTGGTTAATTATTATGCGTCCTAATTTAATGGTATGAAATCGTAATATGTATCTACGGTATAATACTTATCGTTTGAATTATAGTAATTGTAGTTGAATTTTCAAATAGCGGCATACGTCATCCTTTTTGTGGAATGATTTTTTTCGTAGAATATGTCTAGAAACTTCTCCATTGTTTGTCAATGGGGAGGAAATATTATCGAGGAGTCAAACGGAGTTCATTACGAAGGAGGGATTCGGAAGATAATTGTTGTTTCCCGTGGAGTGGATCTTGCTGAAATTATGAATAAAATTTATGCCGCCACATCCATCAAACGTATGAACAAGTTGGATTTGAAGGTTAAATATCCCATGCATGGTGGATCATACATGTTGATGCCTCTTGCTGACGACGAAGCCGTTACAGGAATGTGGACTGTAATCGAGAATCTTGAAATGCATACCATGGAGATATATGTTGAAGAAGTGGCGGTGTTGCCCATACAACCTGGCCACCCGCCATTGTCTTGCACATCCCCAAGTGTTCCAGTTGTGATGAATATGGTTACACAGGAGAATGGAAGATATGTGAACAGTGCTGCAACGTTTCTAGATTCACAGTGCACTGACGATGATGCAGATGAAAATGTGAACCACGACGCGCTAACAGATTCAGATGAAGATGGTGGTGATCTCGTAAGTGGCAATGCTCCATCCAGCCACTACACTAAAGTTTATGAGCTCCCTGCGGGATATGATGAATCATGGAAGGGTTCTACAACTTCTAGTCGTTTTTCTGTAGATGGTGAGTTTGAGGTTGGGCAAGACTTTGATAAATAAGGACTTATTTGACCCCTTTTTTGCAACTTCGAGGATCAAACTGACCCTTATCCCGTTGGCTATGGTGTAATTTAATGAGCACGTTGTTCTCACGTGATTTGTACCGGTTAAAAAGGGTCGAGTAAGGCTTCCATCCGGTCGGGGACCATTTTTGGAAAAAGCCCACCTAATTAGGACCATCTGATAATAACTAATAATAGGGATTATTAAAAGCGGACCAGACACAGTTGGGATTATTAAATCCAATTTTTCCTTTAATTAAAACATTAAGATATAAGAAAATTACTTTGTGAATCAAAGACATACATTGTGATATAAAAACATTAAAGATGTCATACAAATCTTTGTAACCTATTTTTAATAACTTATAAAAATCAACTTTTTTAAAGAAAACCAAAAATTCCGGTTCCGAACTGAAACCGGCGATTCCGGTTCTCAAAAATCCCAAAAACCAAACTGCCTCCCTTAACCTCAAGTTCTTAACCTTGGTCGCAGACCAGTTCAGGTTCCAGTTCCAGTTCCGGATAAACCGGAAACCGGGGACAGGTCTACGATCAACCACCCAGCAGTCCCATCTTATTAAATCAACGACCGAGTGGTCCCTATCTTGCCCGAGCAATGACCTTATGATCTGTGTTCGGTCCGATCGACAATCGGGCGGTCCCGGGCCAGTTCCGGCAATGACCTGACGGTCCATGTCCGCGTCGGTCAATGACCCGGTGGTTCAGTCTTGGATTTTTGAAATCATTTTTAAAGTGAAGAGTTTTAAAAGAGTCGTTGAATTGGCAATCAATAGGAAAATAAGAAAAGAAATCGTCAAACTAACCGTTGAGATTGATCAGGAGGAACTGGTTTTGATCCCAACTTCCCTATACGTGGGGCATGGTACTTTACTTGGGTTGTACTGGCTTCGATTCTGGACCGGTACCGTACTTTCGGTTTTCTAGACGGTCACAGAACCGGGTGAAAAAGGTTGATGAACATGTTTTCAGATTTGAAAATGGAAAACTAAAAAATGAAAACAGAAAATTGGAGATAGAAAAACAAGAAAATGAAAATTGAAAATTTGAGAACGGAAAACTGAAAAATATCTTTGTTAATGTGATTTGGAGATTTATTCTGGTAGAGCCGTCAAGACGAGCTGAAACACGTGGGCTAGATCGTTTCAACACATTTATTGATGGATTAGGGTTGTGACTTTTTGAGTAAGTGGGTTTCGCGGTCAACTCACGCGGGTTGTGAGTCAAGTGGGTTGACTGGGTTAAGGGTTGGCCCGCGGGCCAAAATACAAATATATAGTTTTGACAACCAAAATACAAATTATTCAGATTGTTCTTTTGCTACCAAAATTATTATAATTAGATTTATATACTTATCATTTTACAACCATTGCAAAATAATTATAATTTTTGTAATAACTATACAAATAAATTGCTCAAACATATATATTATGTAAAGTTGAACATAAGTTTTAGCAATTAATAGTCATGATTTACAAATAATCATTCAAAGGTTTAAGTAGTTCTTTAATTTTATACAATTATTATTTTTGTTAGATATCCTCTTATAGTTTTCAAATTTCGGTATAACTGTCGATGGATATTTAATACTCCACATTATTTAATTAAATCTAGCAAGTATTGAGTATTTAGTACTTTGATTTCTTGTATTCCTTTATTAATACTTACCAATATAAATAGAGGTATTTACCTAAATAGGAGTAAATCAATTTTTAATTGCCAAAATAGGACTAAATGCTAAAAAGTTCTTAAATAGGAGTTATAATCTGTAACTGGACAAAAACACCCTTGATGTTTGGAAGTCATACTGCCGCCGACCCGAGCACTGAATCACCGCCATTCGCCGGGCTCCGCCTGTCGCCGCCGGTAGCCGCCGGGCTCCGCCGGTCGCCGGGCATCCCTGTCGCCTCAAAAATGGCCGCCGTTGCGGATTTGGCCGCCACCAATGCAGATCTGGCCAGCGTCGCCGGAGATTTGGCCAGCTCTAGCCTCCGTCGGCCGCTGCCCCTGCAGATCCAGCACTGTTGCACCTTTTCTGGCATCTGCTACTGCTAATATGAATTCCTCAGTTGCGGATCTGCCTGTTTTCGGGGTGAATCCCAAGATTTTTGTCAAAATGCCATATCAATGGCATTTTCAAAGGAAAAAACAAATTTTTTTAAAGACAAAGAATGCCATTTTTATGGCATTTTTAGAGTTTAGCTTGACATTTTGTAACAATCAAAGAAGAAACGGCACAAGGGGAAGAAGAATACCATCTTCGACACCGGCGACGTTCGATTGCGTGATGGCGGCGGCGGCGACGAACTTCGCGACGGGGGCGGCGATGGGGAAGGAGAGAAGATGAGCAGGTGAGGGCGGAGGTTGACTTCGCGACTAGTATCCTTGGCTCGTTGTTCTGCGATGGGGGAAGAGAAGACGAGAGCAGGTGGGGGGAGAAGAGAAGACGAGAGCAGGTGGGGGGAGAAGAGAAGACGAGAGCAGGTGGGGGGAGAAGAGAAGACGAGAGCAGGTGGGGGAAGAAGAGAAGATGAGAGCAGGTGGGGGAGAAGAACTATGTATATTTTATTTAAAAAACTAGTCATGTATATTTACAGAATTTGTCATGTACTTCCCAATATAGATATACCAATATTTTAATACATTCCTGCGGGCCGGCCCGTTTAATTCTGGAGTTAGGTGGATTGGGTTAGGGTTAAATAAACTCTGACCCGTCAATTAACGTGTTGATCCGAACCAATTCAACACACATAAAACATAACCCGTCACGGGTCGGGTCAAGTTGGCCCTTTATGTAATTATGTTGTTAACTGCTTGCCTCATCGACCTAATTCTTGATAATAATAAACAAGAATGATAGGTGACACAATATAAATGTAAAGGTGTATTCACAATATAATATAGTTCAAAAATGACTAATTTTACATATAGAAAAAATGTGAGTAACAAGGGTTTAAAGGGATATATGATATCATTGACTGGTTTTTAAATTTTTATGTCACTAACAA